CATCTCAAAAGGCTTGCAGATATTATAAAACATCTGAATATGGGGAATAAAAGTCATTGGTGGAATTTATATCCTTTCTCTTTGCCTTTGAGATATAAATGTTCAGCCAGTGTCCTCTGGGAATCCAGGACCATTTCTTTAAGATGCAAACTTCAAGGAGGTAATTCTTATGAGAGGGACACAAGAAAAAGGGAAGGGGGCTATTTGGAAACTAGATGAAAGTAATACTAAAATTAAATTAAATGATATTCATTGAATATCCAGATCGTTCCAATAAGATAAAATACTAGGATATTAGTTATTGAAGAGAAGTTTTTTTACTTTTGGCTTCTTATGACAGAGAACTAAAGGTATAACATCTTTTCTGCCTCACTGAGAAACTTACTATTAGGAAGAATATACTTACAGAAATTATGAACATATTTATGAATTTGCCAGTCTACAGAAATGCTATTGTAACAGTCCACAATTCTTTTTTTTTCATTAGCAATTAAGGATTCTAAGGGTTAAGAATTCTAGTCAATGTATGTGATCAAAACTATTTAGAAATATAAGGGTGTAAGGAAACAACTGTGTATGAAAAGTAGGTAAGGAAAGTAGAATGTGTGTTTTGATTAAGGAATGGTGTGAAGGACATTTTTTAAAAAGTCATTTTGTCATTTACAGTGTTTATTTTATTCTGATACTTTTGCAGAAGTACTTCATCTTCTGAGAGATTCATGGAAAGGACACTGACAAGTACTCTAGAATGCAGGTTTCTAATAATTTTAAGATCATAAAACTGCACTGGGTAAGAATTTCCAGAAGTATATTGCAGCAGAACCAGAATTAATAACATTGGTTTAAATGAACTGGTGAGGATGATTATAATTTTTTTTTACAACTTTTTCTTTGAAACATTTCTGGGTCCTTAATGTTTTATTTTCCAGATGTAATGAAATATTTTTTCTCTTAAGTTATTTATGACTTAAAGCAATTTGGTATAGTTTTATAAACAATTGAAACATACATTTTTTCTCCCTACCTGATCCCTCCAGAATTTGGAAATTCTTGTGTATACTTATTTTCATGGCAATATAGTTATTTGTCGTAAGTAGCAGGAGGAAATGTGTTCCCATCCCAGGGCAAATAAACCAAGGAAACCTATGAAGCCAAAATCAGTCAAAGGGAAAAAATAATGTGGGAAAACCCATTTATTGTTTACAAGAAGTTGTCCACTCCTGCTCACCCATGTCTCTCCCTGTCTTGGCTGGACTAAGGGGAGAACTGCTTCCCTCCACCCCTTGTAACACCTCTTGATCTGGAGATGGACTAAGGCCAGGAGAGAGTTTCTGAAAATATTGCAGTTTTACCCACAGCCCACCCCGCCAAAAATCTCACCTCACCATCTACTTTTCCCATCTTCCACAGTGGATCCTGTGTGAGAAAACTGGAGCACTGTAACCAGACTAATAACATACAATAACAGCAATAAAAGGTTGATTATCCTCAAGACAGATGATCCAGCTATGTTCAAAGTCTATTCAGATTAAGTTCATAGCTTACCCATTCATTCCACAGGAGGCCAGCAACTGAACTGGTAGGGAGCTCTGTACATGCTCAGTAAGCAGCCAGGGGGAGAGTCCAAGCTGCCATGACTGTAGAAGAAAATAAACTTAAGGGCATTAAGATACATGTTTTAATGACACCAGCATAGGCAAATCTTGTCCGTTAGGTACAATGCATGTAACAGAGTAGTCCTGTGATAGGACAGTGGCAGGAATGGGAACTTGTCCTGCTCTAGTATACCAGACCTTCACACCCCTCCCTGTAGGAGTTACTGATGGGTCAATATGTAGGGCTATGGGGGGTACATGGACTGGCCATAAAGACAAAACAAAATTTCCATATAAGGACCTCTTACTTCCCAGCTGTTTTGGGTACACTACCTTGATCTTTGGGGGCCATTTTGCTGTTATTCCAGGAACACAGGAGGC